GGGAGCTGGGGGCAGTGCGCCCCCCGTGCCGCCGCGACATAACCCCCGGGGCGGTGCCAGCGCTCGCCTCCTCTCCAAAAAACCCAAACAAGACCCAAAGAGCGCAGCAGAGCGCCTGTAGAGGCCCTGATCTCGCTCCTCCGTGTGGCACGTGAATTATTTTATTCAATGTCTCCTCACATCGACACCGAGGCAAGCCGCGGGGGCACTCCTCGCGCAGATGAACGTTCCCGTGAACAGCGGCAAACAGGCGTTGGAGGGGAGCAGTTCTGGGAGGGACAGACCGATCGATCCCCTGCACCTCTGTTTTCTCAGCACCTTAAGACGCTGCGCATCTTACCTATGGCTGCCAAGCAGTGATGCCCCCCGGCCTGTCGCTCCTTCTGCTGAGGGAAATCGCCACGAAGGGCTCGAAGTTTCCAGGGCCTCCGCCGCAGCGTGGGCGTGCGGCGCGAGGCGGCTGAGCTGGAGGTCGGTCCTACGAGCGGGACATGGCCTGCTCTGCAGGCAGGCTGCTTCTCGGGGGCAGAGCGTGCAGGCGCTGGTGGTTTGGGTAGGCAGGGAAACAAATTGATCATTCTGCTTAGATATGAAAAGGAGGAAGTTATGTCTTCTTTTAATTTTTTTTTCTGTTACTGAAATTCGATAGCAAGTCCTGTTAAGGTTAGCCTTTCTTAACATACTTAGTATCCTGCTGGGCTTTTTTTCTGAAGTAGACACGTAGGACTGGTGGGGACCCGCTGGGCTGCTGAATAACATCCCCGTGAAATCAGAGGCAACCAAGACTCTTTGAGGGTGGTAAAACACTGGAACGGGTTGCCCAGAGAGGCAGTGGAGGCCCCATCCCTGGAAACATTCAAGGCCAGGTTGGATGGGGCTCTGAGCAACCTGATCTAGTTAGCGGTGTCCCTACTCACTGCAGGAGTGTTGGGCTAGATGACCTCTAGGGGTCCGTTCCAACCCAAAGCATTCTATGATTCTATGATAAGCCCTGTGGTCCCACAGGAAAACAAACCAACTCCCCCTCCTGCAGTTTCTTCCCACCTGACTAGGTATAAACTGCTTCTTTTCTAAGCTGAAGCTGAGTTGATGATCAAGACATATAAACCTCTCTTTAATCCTGCAAGGACTGTCTAATGTAAGGTTTAATACCCTGTCTTACCATGGAACCAAGCTGTGCTGAGGCAGTGAGGACTCTTCAGTAGTTGGTTTCATATCCGTAAGTGTTGTGACTGTAAAATAGGCTTCTTAGCTTGAAACCATTGCTGAAAACTTCACAGAAAACATTAATGATTTTGTCATTTAAATGATCATTACTAGGTTTTGGGGTTAGCACTGCTGGTTGAGTCACTATTTGTAATACTTAAGAGAATAATTTAGTTTGGAAGGGACTTCTGGAGCTTGCCTGGTTTGAACTTCTCCAAGCAGGGCCAGCTTCAAAGCTAGAATGGGTCACTCATGGCCTTGTCGAGTTTGGAATATCTTTAAGGAGAAGATTGTTTTATGGCATAATCTGAAAAGGAATTGTTTTACAGGCTCGGACTTGGGCAGAAACAACTGTTAATTTATTTTATGGTTATAGATTTTTTTCATGAACAGGCCGTAGAATTACATTCCTAGAGCCACGTCTACAT